GAAGAAGAAGATTTTAAAATTGCATACAGAAAAGGAGACATAGATATTAATGTGTCCTATACTTTTTGCTGTATTTTCACACTGAGTAACCTTCATTGTTTTCTGCTCAGGCATGGAAGGAATCGTAGCTTGCCGTCTCCTTCAGGATCTGCCGTGTCTGATGCATTGCCGGGTGAATGCCGGCTGGCTGGCTGTCTGGCTGCGGTCGCCGGTGCCCGACCTGCCTGACTGCCTGATCTACCACTGCCAGAGAGCTTTACAGAGCCTCTGAGACTCAGAGCTGCAGCACCATCACCACTGAAATCACTGAGGAACTAAACCCACCAGACCCTAACTGAAGAGGAAGGTACACAGAGCTGAAGTGCTGAACAGAAAAGGAGAAACCTGCTGTTGTGGCTTTTGATCTTTATTTTGCGGTCTTCATGAATTTCACTCAAAGTTATTTAGTAAGATTTGGTTTTATTTATTTGGCAGAATTATAACTCATTGAAAGACATGGCAGGTTAAAAGCTCAGGGTCAAATGATGGTGTTTAATCATCTGTGGGTGTTTCATTATTGCCTTTTAGTCGTGAAAGAGCTCCATAATCACTAAACGATTGAAGCCTTCTTTCCTGGTTAAATTCTGATGGTATGCTTTGTATAACAGAAAATTATCAAAGTGTAAAATAATGAAGTTCTCAGTTGTTTCTTTTTCCTGTAGACCAGAGAGAAGATATATATTTTTTGTGATCTGAAATACATTTTCTAGGCTACAACAATCATAACAGTGGAGCGAGTAAGTCCACAGTCACTTGTCCCTCTTCCACTTTCACATTTACAACAGATGCATTGAAGAAAAGATAGTGTAACAAATTCAGTGTATGAATAAACACAGACAAATCAGAAGGATTACATGACGACCACGGCAGAGAAACTGAAGGATCATGTCATCACTAAGCTACTTTCTATTAGTTCGTTAGCCAAGCATGGTTGCTAAATATGCAGCACCAACCAAAAATGGCCCCTTGAGGCTGACTCCCAAATCAAATCAATCCCACATTAAAATGACCAACTTTACAAAAATGCATACTTTTTGTCTTCATAACAACTATATGCTGTTTTCTTGGGCTTGGGTCCTTTGATTGGCAGACGTGTTTACACAGGAAGCTTCAGCCAATAGTAGCCTGCTAGGACTTTACTAAATTAAAGAACTGAAGTGGACCTCAGTTCAACCATCCAACCTTTGATCTAATTATCATTGCTTCTCTCTCCAAAAAACCAGCACGTGGCTGATAAAATGCAAACGTTGCGGCTTCAAAATTAGCAGCACCACTATATACATTCTACACCTTTAACATATTAGCCCTATTGAGCTGTGATGGCTAATGCCCAGTAAAAGCATGCTAGCTTTAATATTTAAAGACGCTTAATGGAGATTATTTCTACTTAATCCAATCATGATCTAGCGATAAATCTCATGGTAAAATCAGCCCAACCACCTTTTCCTGCTTACAACTGAACCTCGGATTTACAGAATTGCTACACTTTTAATTTTTTTTGACTTTCACCATAATAACATCAGGCTGAAATGCAAATAAAACTGAAGAAAGATGCTCTCTTGTTCACTTTTTACAGACTTGTCTCATGAGATGCTAAACAGAAGTGCAGTGTTTGATTATTTTCCAAAAATCAGCAGCTTGTCCTCTGATTTTGATTTAGTCTCTTGAATGGATGAGCGCACAGTATATTTGCACTAGTTCATTTTATTTGCAGCTGTTTTGCTCCTTTATGGGAAAAGCACAGGACGATACTGACAACGACTCCACGTGGAGCTTAATAAGAAATTGAAGCATTTGATCAGTCATGTTTGGCATATTCATGGTTGTCTTCCAATGAAATTTAAAGTGTAAAATATCCAGTTGGCCTGCTCGCGGCTGACGTGAACTTCCCCTTTTTTCTTTCTGACACGTACAGTGAGAGCGCTCTGTCTTGGACGGTATGGAGTGATTATTTAAGCACTCATGTTTCTCATTAGGTGGTTGTTATATTTTTGTATGACTGCAGTATTAAAAGAACATATTTATGAGTTTATATTCTTATAAAATGTTTACATGCATTTCACTGAAAGAAAGGGAACCATTGTTCTTCATGTGCTGTTTGACTGGTCTGTGCCAGATTACACTTGTATGTTTCTTTCACATGTTTTGGCTTGTTTTAAGTAATTCAGCCTGAAGGGAAAGTTTGCTTTCTGCGTTTCTTCTATGCCTGTGTGCTGGTTTGAAGCACAGTGTGATGCTAACAGTGTCTCTAATACTCAGTTTTAACCCTACGCCTTATGTTTTAATGCCAGTACGGCATGTTTGATTTGTGCCTGTGGTACAGAGGAAAAAAAACATCCTTGTATCTTGGAGTGCCTGTCACTACATTCAGTTAACTTATGAATAAATTCAACATGTGAAAATGACCCTTTGACTTTGACTCATTGGTTATTTAATAAATTGAGGCTCTCGTGGAGTTTATGCTTATTAACACATGTACTGGGTGTGAAACAGGAAGTAATAATACAAAAATTTATATGAACTACTGATTCTGCACAATAATGAAAATGAATATTTAAAATGAGCTTTTTTATGTGAAGTTGTTTGCATAGTGAAGCTGAAGTATATACAGCACTATAGCATATTTCTACACTGATTATATAACACAGAAATACCCACAAAGGCAAAGTAAATGCAGATTTTATTTACGGTAAATTATTCATGAAAAGGGTTATTGTTCTTAGCAATAATGTACTTTTTCTATAGCTTTATTTTTAGTTATATAAACTAAAAAAAACCTTTTTTAAAAAATCAGGCATAATGTTGGGTAATTACAAAACCACAGAGTAAAAAGTCTCAAGTTAATTTGACCAAATTTGTCAACACAGCCAAAAATGAGACTACACTGAGTACCCGGAGAGATCGTGCCCAAGCCAGGTGGTGGAGTTGAACTCAGGACCAATCACTGTGCCACCATTGCAACAGTTTAGTTTGAGAAATTTTTGAGAAAGCTTCATAGTGTGAGATTCTGTGGCTGAGCAGCTCCTGTAGTAATGTAATGTTTGGGTGACCCACTTACAAAACAACAGATGCTAAATGAGATGAGAAGAAACTGATATCAAACTGAAAACATAATACAAATAAAACTAATGTAAATACAGAACCATTGTTCCTCTGCATGTGACTTTTTTCTTCAGTTATTTCAGTCATTGTAAATGCATCTTTATTAAATGTATGAGCTGTGTACACTGTCAAAACCCGAATCAGAAATCTATACTTAACAAGTGTACTTTGTTAAAGATTAGTAAAGTTTAATTTGGAGTACATGTGCTGTTAATACAAATTTACTATTAGTATTTCCTAGTACAGGACTTCATTAAGGCCTTTAAACCCATTTCAAGATGTTTTCATCTGAAGTGTAAAAAGCGCTGTTATGTTTCACAGCTTGATGTTGTGGGGTTATGTCGTTCGTGGGATGAAGCGCATGGCCAGGCTGTGCTCGTCTTCCACTGGCTGCTGTGACAGGTTGTTGGTCTGCTTGATGCTGTTGAGCGTGCAGCCTTGACGAGGACACACAGTGTACCGAGACAGGAGAGTGACCAGGATGGCCTTCATCATCACCATGGCGATGTGTTTGCCCACACAGGAACGAGGCCCGCAGCCAAAGGGCTGGAAGTAACGACTGGGTACCTGCCAAAGAGAGAAAGCAAAGACTCAAATGTGTGTGTGTGTGCATGTTTTTTTTTTTAGTTTAAACCATGAAACCTTTATTGTTGAACTACACTCGGCTCACTTACCGTTTTTTCAAAGTTCGTGAGGTTGAACTCTTTGGGTTTGGGGAAGAATTCGGTTTTGTGCATGAGGCCAATGTTGAGAATGATGTTGGTGCCTTTCTTGATATTTGTACCTGCGATGTCATTATCCTCCAGAGCTTTCCTCATTGTGAAATCGACCACAGGATGAAACCTCAAAGACTCGTTGATGAAGCTCTCCATCACTTTCAGACTTTGGTAATTGATATTTTCCACGTCTTTTTCATCTGAAAATGAAAGATCTGTCAGAATACTTCTACTCACCAGAGTGAAACTGTGAATATGGAATATGGAAACACTGTAAAGCTGCACTCAACTCAAGACGGTGTTCATCTCCTCCACTAGCTGCAGCTCTATGTCCGGGTTCTGTTTCAGCAGCATCAGCATGAAGAAGAGGCTGATGGAAAGTGTGTCGGGGGCTGCGATCACCATCTCTAGCACACACTGCCTGACATTATCTGCTGATAGCTCTCCGTGGTTCTGTTAAACACAACAGACGGGAATAAGAAAAGACAATTGTATCGGGGGACGACAAAAATCCCTCCAAAAAGACCGACCTGGGCGAAGATGAGCTCTGTTGCAAAGTCGAGCTCGTCGTCCAGTTTCTCGGCTTCATGAATCATCTTTTTCTTAACTTCAAGCAGGCTCTCCATCGCATCTTGCAGCTCCTGTCTGTTGGCACAAAAAGCAACACAAACATTAGGTTGAAGAAATCGCAAACCACAATACTGACTTACTGTGAGATGAGGTGTCTTACGCTGCTCTCTTATGCTTGTTGTACAGCCATCCAACCTTGAAGAATATATCTGGTTTTATTAGAACTGTCTGCCAGGTCTCAAAGTAGTTGTGAATTTTCATCAATAAGTCTTTCTCTGAATTATTAAAAAGAACAACAAAAAATCAATAGATGCAGCGCCAGAGCTCATGCGTCACAATCTCTTGCAAAAGTATAGTATGCGGTTTTAGGAATCTATGTGCAGTAAACACGCCTGACCATTTAACGGCACTCTTAGGAACAGCCTGTTGGAGATGTCCAACACAATGGCTCTCAGGAGATTGAGAGCATCCACATGTCCAGAGGGGTCAGTCATATCCTGTAAGTTGTCCAGGTGTTTGGCTGTGGAGCTCACACAGATTCCTTCAGTCCTCTGCAGGCCGGGTCCAGTCAGAGCTGCACAGTAACATTCAGTAGCTCCACAGTTCAAGAAAGCAATAGTCTAACCACAGTATGTGCTATCAGTGTGTGGTAATCGCTCACCTTTAGAAAAATATGTTCTCACTTTTTTCCAAAGCAGGACATCACTGTTGAAAATTATACCATTTCCGTACATGCCGATGCACTCGAGTCCTTTTTTGCTCCCAAATCTGGAGGTGTAGTGGGCACTCCTCAAAACGTGGTACACTTCAGAGGACCTGCAGAAGAAACCAGGCTTTACCTTTATCCTGTCTGAAAGTTTAATGTAAAACAAGTTCGGTTTACTCTAAAAAACAAAAACAAAAAAAACAACCCACTCGCCTGCTCAAAATCAGGGTCTCCTCTCCGCTTATCCACACCCGCACAATGCTCCCATATTTGTTGTTGTAGTAGTTACACGCTGTTCCAATCCCAGACCAGATGAACCTGCTGTAGGAGAGAATGGGACCGAGTCCTGCTAAGAAGGAAGGACCTGACAGAGAGAAATGGGTTATGATAGTAGACTCCCACTTCTACTGCAAATTAGCAAGAACCTTGTCTGTTGAGTTTAATTTGAGAAAGATAGTGTATTTTTTTGGGATAGCTGCCAGGCTCTGATCTTAGTATATAGGAGAGTGGCAAGTACGGACGGCACTCTTTGTTCTGTGTGTAACTGTTATTTGACTTCTGCATGAACCTTTTTCATCAGTATACAGGAATTTGCACCTGGAGCTGCAAAACAGAGACTCTTTGTGATTATTTTTAATAGACAAGGAACACGCTCTGTGATGGTTGAGTAAACCTTGTTTTGTCATTGATGAATTGCAGACCTTCTGTGTATATGAGGGTTTCCCTTTCTTTGTCATTAGATGCTTGCTGACTTTACTCTGTATCTGATTCCTTTGCAGTGGATGGCTAAATGATATAAAAAGACACTTTGGAGCCTTTAATTAATATGGTATATAAATACTTATAGTTAGTACAGTAATTACAGTAATTACACTCTAAATACACTTCAAATTAAATTAAAAAATCTTTACCTTATTTATCAAATCCTATTATTCATCCTAAATATCTCTCTATAAGGAACATATTATTCCATTATATCAACATTATATCAATATGTGTGTGTATATACTATATATATATATATGTATATATATATATATATATATATATCAGTGCCTACCTGGTATGTGTGACTGTTTTCTTTGTCTCCAGGTGGTGAAAAGCAGCAGCAACAGCAGCAGAAGTAGCAGGACAGCAGTGACTTCTGACGCTCTATCAGCCACCATGGGGCCAGCGATGAGCTCCTCTACCGGCAGCATCCTCTGCGTTTCTCTAGCCGGGTACACCCAATGGAGCACACACACACACACAGTGCGTCTGCAGTCTGCGTTCAGATCTTTTAATAAGCAGCAGACAAAACAGAAGATGATCAGCCTGTGTGTTTCCTCCTCCCTAATCTCCTGTGGAGTCTGTCCTTCAGTCTAGGACGTAACATAGCACTGAGCCACATTCAAACCAAAATACACCCACATCAACCTTTATCATTAACTGTTTGTATTACTGAAGTAGTTAGCATCAAATATACAGTAATTACAGACATCATTATGATTTTTTTTTTCATAATGATGACTGTTATCTTACAATTATAGGGTCATTAGCCCTTATCTTACTTATTGTCTTTGCTATTTTCTAAACTATTTATACCTTTATAGTTATTTTACAATTACAGTATTTTGTCATGTATCTTAAGTTTTTCATCACTGTGCTGCAGAAAATTGAACAACATGAATTTGCTGCTGTCAGACTGCATCAGAAGGACACTGATGAGCAGCGAAATGGGAGCTCATTATAAATAAATAGACTAAATAAGCAAGATGCCAGACGCAGAAACTGATTTAATATTAAAGTCTAATATCAAACACAGTCTCTTAATTCAAGGTCCAAATACAAAATAAAAATATGTAGAAAATATAAAAAAAAAAAAAAATTAACAGTCTATGTGAGAGGTTTGCTTCATTAATCTTTGTAACAAAAAAAGGTTGAATAATTCTACTTACTTCTCTTTCCTCTCCTGCTCCAGTCCAACTTAGAGTACAATTTGAAGAGGTGCAGTACTTCCTCTACTGGTTTTAAAGGTGACCAGCATCCTTTGTGCAAATAAATTCAGTGTTTCAAGTGTTTATAAATCCTTTGGCTAAGCTTTCACTTTAACAGTTGCCTGGAGACGTGGTCACTTGAGGGTTACAAGCACCATGGCAGAGGAGTGAACTTGAGACACAGCAGTGCACATCTGAACCACAAAGCAGTTTCCAGCAGAACAAAGGAGGTGCTTTTTATTCATAAGAATGGAGAACCTGCAAGGCTTTCACTGGTTGTGCTCTGCATTAGTGTTTAGATGGGCTTACTTCACATTTAGCTTTGGTGCACCCAGAGAAACCCCACTGTCCAATTCATCAACCCGGGAGGCTTTTGAAAGGGAAATTAATTAGCTGGGTCAGACTGACCTGTGTCAAAGGAGACAAGGACTTACTCAGGAGTTCAGAAAGGGAAAAGAAGAATTAAAAAAAATGTCATAATTATATTCTTAAAAGCTCAGTTTTAATAATTTAATCTAAAAGTGCTGCGATTGATTGCATGGTAGTTAGTCCAGTGTAAGAAATCATAGTTTCAAACTTTAAAGGAAAAAACACTGTTCATGGAAAGCTTTTGTGAATGAGCTGGTTTTCATGCTTGGTACCTGTGAATAGCTGGTATGCCCTGTTTAAAGATACTGGCCACACATCTAGGGGTGGATGTGTTGGTCTTGCTCTGAAATTAGCAACAGAAGCTACAATGACCTCTTCCCCCCACCCCCGAAAAAGCAGCAAATCAAAAATCAATCAAAAAAAAAATGTAACATTGACTATTTACGAAACTTTCAATCTCGAAATTCATATTGCAATGAATCGAAAAAAACAAAACCCTTTCATAAAAAGGATATTCTGACACCCACACATGTACATCCGCACACTCGCAGACATTTGCTGAAAGCTCTCTGAAAGTTCTTTTGTAGATCCCAACAATGTGTCCCTTGTTCCCAGCTTATTTATTCCACTTCCATGTAATTTTGAGTAGGACAGGCTAGTGAAAATACTGAAGAAAAGAGGCACCAGAATGATGGGAAGCCATATGCTGTCTGGAGGATGTGTCATTCTGGAAATATGCCCATTAGCTGCATTTAAATCATGCAAGCCTACAGATTTCAGCAGTCTTGCAGATGTTTGTTATTATGCAATGCATCACGTGTCTCTCTCTCGCTGTAGTTCCAGGCAGATTTTGACATGTTTATTCCTCTCCAACTGCTCTACTGTGGTTTCTCTCTGACGTGTCATCTGCTGGCAGGTGTTCAGAAATGTGCTGTATGTGCTTCTGAATTACACAGCCCGGATCACTGTGCAGCAGAGGACCAAGGAACAGGGCACAAACATGAAAGAGGGAAGTGGAGTTTCTCCCATGTGGAAAGTGTTGCTGGTGGGGATGTGCGTGCTGCTGCTCCTGAGCACGGCAGGTTTAGTGTTTCTGCTGTTTCGGCAGAAAGAGTTGGCAGACGAGCTGTTTAGGCTGGAGTCCCAGATGCAGGAGCTGACAGAGAGCTGCAGGCTGCGGGCGGGAATCCTGCCCATCGACCCCGGAGAGGCCCGAGAGTTCAGGAAGCTCCACCGCCGCAGGAGAAACCAGGAAGAAGATCCAATGCAAAGCGAAGATCAGAAGGATATGCTGATGCTCATGACATACTCTACGGTTCCTGTAAGACATCAGCATGCTTGGATGTTTCTGTAGGACTGTGAATACTAATGCTATATGTTGTTTACTCTATTATGAAAAAAACTGAGTTATGAATCTCTAAATATATATTATGAAACGGAAGAGAGGGGGAATTTTTTATTTTTCCCGAGTTTGGTGTCTTTAATATGATTATGTGAGGCATCTCCTTGCAATCTAAGAAATCCAGGAGTCTGTTGTAACCATTAACAAATTTCTGGTTTTGAGTGCTTCCTGGAAAAGTACTTTGTGCTGTGAAGAGTGACTGCTCCTCCCTCAGCTCCACTTTCTTCCACTACAAAACTGGCATTTCTTCAAAGCCGTGCTACTGTATACTTTGTGAGGGAGCCAGGGGCAGTATCATTGTTTTTATTAACAATTAATCTTCACTTTCAGTTTGTTTCATCTAAAGCCTAAAGATTAAAAGAACAGCAGAGATTTAAGAAGGGAGAAAATTTTAGGGAATTTTAGTTGTTGTTGTTGTTATACTCTAACTGCTTCAGCTCCGTTAATGAGAATGATTCTTTTGCTGGATTTTGGGAATAAACACTGTTAAACAACCGGTTTTGCTGAACATGGCAAAAGATTAAAATATAGACCTTTAGAAAACACCCTGTCTTTTCTGTGTTAACAGGGCCTAACTAAAATGGCCCTATATGTGGTTAACTTACACCTAAATCAAAACTTTCCTCATGCATGTCTTTTTCTTTATTTCAGGTCAAAGCCTTCACAGATATGTGCAGGAGCTCCAAAGGAATTTGTTTAACAGGTGCACATCATAAAAACAGGCATCTCCACTGTTTTCATTTGCGTATTTACTGCCCTTAGTTGTTGTTGTTTTTTAAATATGTGAATTGTTTTTTCCTTTCCAGGCCCACCTGGACCCCCAGGTAAAAACTGAAATTTAAATTTACTGAGTAAATTTACTGAAATTATGCTAAATTCCTACTGCATTACAAAGTGTTTTTGTTCTATCAGGTAAACCTGGTTCACCTGGACCCCCAGGTCCACCAGGGCCAGAGGGGAGACGAGGTAGAAAAGGTGAGAACTTTTATATGTCTAAGAAATCTGAGAACCCATCTCCTCTCCCATTCAGTGAAAAGCTGTATGAAAACAACCAAATTTGCAGAACAGAAGCTTCTCGTGCATTTCAAACAGTCTTTCATTGTTCCTGCTGTGATTGCACAACATGAGCATCCCACTCACTGTCTGCAAGAAACTTGTGTTTAGCTGCCACATAGCTGTTTACTGCAGTGGGATAAGTGTTTGCTGCACTGATTAGCACTGATTAGCCCAAATTATAGTATTTTTGTTGTTTTGAAGCTGAAAATTGCAGTGTGGGCAATGTTTTTTTTTTTTTTTTAAACTTTTACTCATTCACTGTATCTTTTTACCAACTCTGCATGGCTTAAACTCTAAGATTAATCTGAGATTCTGAAGAAATTTAGGTTTTTGAACTAACATGAAGCTCTTGATGAATACTCAAGGAGCCTGACATCACCTTAACAGACTGTTAACTGTTATTGGTTCCTTTTCCTTCCTTCAACTCTTGAGTCTTTTTGTGATGTGTTAAACATATGCTAAGTAGGGCTAATCCTTACTTCTCTTTTCTGAACTGAGTAGCTTTTGTCATTTTTCAGGCCTGCTTCCAGAACAAAATAACTGGGTGTGCATCAAAGGTTAATGAGGGTAATCTCTGCCCATACAGCTCTCTAGGGCTACCTGAAAACCCCAGTGTTCTAATTTCCATCAAAAAACACACCATTATTGTGTCTTGTGTCCTGTTTCCCTTCACTCACTCCCAAACCAGTCATGGCAGAGGCTGCCACTTGCCGAGCCTGGCTTCCTGTTAAAAGGTAGTTTTTCTTTCCCACTGTCCCCAAGTGCTTGCTCATATCACCTGATTTTTGCGGCTTTCTCTCTGTTATTGTAGCATCTTTACCTTACAATATAAAGCACCTTTATTGTGGTCGTTGTTTGTTGTGATTTAATACTATAAAAATAAAATGTAACTGAACTGAATACATTTGAGGCATCACAAGTCATTACTAAGGGTAAAACAGTTTTATATGAACAGTTAATAGGGTAGCCCACATCACAGCATTCCTTTTTCTTTTATTGTTTTTGTTACTTCTGTGCCAGACTTCTGTACTTACCTTACACCTTATAACAGGATGCAGCTGCTCTAAAACTCGGCAGCAAGAGTACTTACAGGGAGTAGAGAGAGGTGATATTTCTGTCATAATAACACCCTTTCATTTGTTTCCTGTTAAATCTAGAACCGAATTGCAATCCTGCTTAATCACACTCTGACACATGTTATAGATCTCATGGTACCATATTCTGTAGATAGCACCAGAGGGCAGACTTACTTCTGCTCCTCACATTTTCAGCATTTCAGTGGGAGACAGAGCCTTCAGATATCATGCTGCTCTCATTTGAAACCAGCCCCCAGTTTGGGTTTGTGAGGCAGACACCATCTCTACTCTTAAGATTAGTTTTAAAACGGTCATTTTTGATAAACCCTGTAGTTAGGGCTGAATCAGGTGACCCTGAACCATCACTTAGTTATGCTGCTGCGTCAGAGGAACCTCCCATGATGCATCGAGCACCTTTCCTCTACTCTTCTCTCTTTCACTCCACAGACTTCAAAGGGCCATGAACATTGCATGCCATTACCTCCCTGTGCTTTCAGCAGAGGTCTCTGGCTCTGGAGCTGAATGTTTCTGACTCAGCCAACCTCCTTCGTTTTAATTGTCTCCTTGACCTATTTTCTCCTCTCTCCCTTTAACCCAACCAGTCAAGGCTGATGGGTGCTCTCCATAAGTGTGGCCCAGGCTGATCTTTCTTCATGTTAAAGTCACTCACCTCATATTTATGCATCCAGTGATATTTATGAAAGTGGCAATAACTGATAACAGCTTTTTTGGCTGGTAACATTCAAAATGAATATAAAATCAGAGCCCCCACCCACCCACCCACCCACCACGTGAACTCTTAGCCTTACAGTGTAAAAATACTCTGAGATGATTTATGTTTTGACTTTTCACTATGTAAATATAATTGGTTTAATCTTAAAGAGTCTATATTAGCAGTATTGTTAATTTGGTCTGTTTTGCACATCATATTTTTTAATAATCTGTGTACATAAAGGTCTTCCTGGTCCACCTGGTCCATCCTGCTCCACCTGTTGTTCCAGCAGTGACATGAAAAACAAGATTACTGGAGGAAGTAGTCGTCAAATTTACGCATGGAGAGGTAGGAATAATGCCACAATAAGCCAGTGGACCAAGGACTGCAAACATGATATGAAAAGCTGTGTGATTTTTAAAAAAACAGTGTTGGCTGACCTGAAGAGTGTTCAGTTCCATTTGTTCACTGTATATTCGATTTCAGTAGTAGTTAAAAATCACCTGTTTATCCACTACGATATTAAGCAGTGTAACATTCACAGTTCTAGTGGTTTTACCACAAAGTTAAATCTTTTCACGTCTCTCCTCACAAATCAGACTAGTCAAAGGCATGATTAATGCCAATATTTTAAAAGCACAGAAGCCATTCTCCTACAGAAACAAGATTTAAGACTGTTATTTAGATTTTAATTTAAACTCTTTGATTGTCTGGATTTGTCTCCATTTTATTTAGTCTCTTAGTTTCAGTCATGTTGATCTTAAAGATAAGTTCCCAACACACTGGTCATAGAGGTGTCCATTAGCCTGATCGACAACTGTCCATCCATTCATCCATCTTCTGATTGTTTAGAGTTAGAGCTGGGTTAGAGTAAGAGTCATCACTGATGATGACTTAGACCTCACAGGGTTAAAATTAGTAGCTAATAAAACAACACGTTGCAAAGTATATATGTATGTCTGAATGGGTAGATGTTATGGATGGTGTGTGCTTCGTAACTGCTCTAAGATAAGGGTAGGAATTTATGTCTCTTTTTTTTCTTCTTCTTCACAGAATCACCGACACCACGTCCAGCTGATAACACAACTAATGTTTTGAATGTTAGTGGCACAAATATAAAATTAGGTTAGTTACCACTCTGAGCGATAAGAAGTCTTGTTTGGCAGACTAATATTTGACTAAGAAAGAGCATCAAACTCAACATCTTTTATTTCCTAGATTTTGGTTCTTTTTATCCAAACCACAGCCAAGA